TCTCATGGGCTAATCAAGATGAATGAAACACATAATTTACCATCCTTCTACCGAGACATTTTTAACAGGAAGCAAAACTGCCAAAAATGTTTTGTGAAAAAACTCCAAGTGACAGTAAAGTAATGAATACACTCTACTGATGACCAAAGAAAACTGAAGATAATGAGAAGTTACATCTTTTTCAGTCAGGTTTTCCTTGATTTCAACCAGTTCCAATGCAGTGCTAATATAGCACAACTGATATTAAGAGAATTCAAACAGAACAGAGAAATTATTACTAACAGATCGAGAGACCCTGAACTGGCGTAAGGAAGAACATAGCAGTCCTTTGGGTGGGTGAAGACTACAATGCCTGGCAACTGACAAATAGGGTTTATTTTACCCTAAAGGGCTTTGTGTCTGGACTTCATTATTAACTTCAGCAAAACCATCAAAATGAACTGCCTACTGCAATCTAAAAAAACCAAGAGCTATAAGCTGCAATCTTACAACAATAATTGAGCACTCTTCAGAGCCCAGTGCTTTTTCCAGTGATCAGGAAAACCGAAATGACTCAGAGTGCACCACATAGGTAGGATGATGCACCAGTCTTGTGAATGAAGTAAACCAGAAGCTGAGATTCCTACTGGTAAAAATCTGTTAGCTGCTTACTCTGTGCTTGTACAACTTGGTAATTTCAGTACTTTTGTTCAGAAGTAGCAAAGTTTAGTATTAGTAAAAAACAGTATTGCACAGATCTACTAGAAAACTACCTAAATCGGTCTCAGTCAAAACCAGCACATTGAACTTCACTCACCTCCTCTACAAAAGAAGGAAAACTCTTACCACTGCCATGCTTCTGGAGAGGGGGATTTTCTGCACTTTTATTTTTCAAGTTGGGTCTACATCTACAGTAGGCATTCACTGGAAAAGTGGCAAAAGCAAGAATAGTGAGGTCCAAATTGAAAAGTGGGTGGGAAACAACAGAAAACTGAAAATGGGAGGTCACGCTTCTCACCAGCTGCAGGAAACACAGTGCCAGGAGCTGCTGATGCTGAAGTGGGCCCAAAAAATAGGCATACTGAAAAGCATTGTTTAATTTGAATCATTAACTTTTAATCACTTACCCGAGTTAACACATTCATAATGGAAATGTAGCTACTGCCATAATAACACGTCAGTAATTCCTCCGTGAGTCATCTTCCAGGAAACGGGGAACAATAAGCCATGCACTTCAGAAACTGACTTAGGATGTCTTTTTTTAATCTCAGAAAAGAGCACTCAACCTGTTCTTCCTGGCTAATTAGAACTGAATAGCTCTTCCTAAACTAATACATATACTGTAAATACGGACATATATTAGTGTCTTAGACACAACACCCTCTGGAACAAGATCTAAACCAGTGAATTCTTACACCCATGTGTGAGGCGTTTTGCAAACAGTGTTGTCTGGTCAGTTATAAAATTTGTTCTACTACTCTGACTGAATGTCCACTTTCACAGTAAAGGCACAGAAAAAGAAAGAACTAACACTGTTCTTAATTAACAAATCAGCACTTACACCCTTATGCTGCCAGCCCAGCTACACAGACAGTACAAGGATCCCCAAGACCATGCAGTGACTTAAAATGCTCTCTAGAAACTCCATACAGTCAACAACTGCCATATAAACTAGTATCTGGAAGCAGGGACAAATGTTGGCGAGAACCTGAATGCTGACATTAGAGATGAATCGGTTATGGCAGGGAATCACTGATGAAATAAAAAGGCAATTAAGAAACCCTGTTCCTGGCCCTGCTGGCCCTCCCTCACCCTTTTTTCCCCAAAATATCTATAATATATTATGCTTTTCTGTGTCTATTTTTCCAAAGGGGGAGAATTATTTGATAAATTACTGTAAGCAAGATTTTTTTTTCCAAATCAGCCTACTCCAGTGTGTTTTTTTAAGATACTTAGGTTTTCCATCTAGTTAAAAAACTTCAGTATGACTGTATCCTTATGCAAAAGATTCTGTTTTCACTATAAAAAAATACACTTGCTGTATAAAATAAACTTTGATTCTCTTTTGATACCTCTTTGAGCATTCAAATACGCTGAAACATTACACTGCTGTAAATAATTTCAGGGTGAGCAACATCAGTGCCAATGTGAAATGGTATCACTGGAACAGAACCTATTCCTACTGTTCAGAGCTATCCGACGGCAAGACTCTGAAAACAGGGAAGAGATAATGAACAAAGCACTATCTATGAAGTCTTAAATCTAATCTTTTACTTAATAAAGTAAAAAACTGAAGCTAAGAGAACAGGGCACAAAACTTGCTTGCTGAGAAAGAAGTATGTGCTCTTTTGGAGCACAAATTGCTAATTTTTAGGATTACAGTCACTGCTGTCTCTTAATTGTCTTTAAAAGCCAAGACTAACTGCTAATCTGCAATGTGGGAAATGTATAATAAATCTTTTATCTTGATAGCTCATGAAATCAAATCCTATTTTGTGAAATGTGTAAGTTCTAAAATTCCCAACTTATAAACTGAGTTTCATCTACTGTAAAAAAAAAAAAAGAAAAAACCCCAAAACCCAATCTTTTGTCTATTTTCTGTTTTGGGTATCAAGTCAAATCATGTTACTGTTGTGCACTCTGTAACTTCACTGGACTGGCTAAAATCTGTGTTTCCAAGAGTAGGCAAACAAAACCTAAAACTACCAGTAACTGAAGACTGGTAAAATAGTTATTGGCCACCATGTCTTGTGACGATAGAGACAACGCACTTCTCACAGAAGGAAAATACAAAGTAGATACTGTCAACTTCTATTAAAAAAACACTGTTAATTTGCCTTTTTTTTCCTTACATATATATTTTTCCAGTTACTCCGTGATGTTTAAGCAACAGTTAGTTTTACCAAGTTATGTATAAATATTTCTGTTGTGTGGATTTGCATTATTTGTGCCATGGTGGTGTCTGAAGGCCAGTATCGTGCTATCTTACTAAGCTGGGCACTCCAAGAATTTATGATCATCTAGTTTGCATCTGTCTGACAAGTATAATCACAACTTCTATTATACAACAGACTACGGGTCATCACCATATTGACACCTCCTTCATATTAAGTATCTATGGACTTAACAAGAGAATCCAAACCCCAGTAGATGTAGCTATTTTTAAGAGACTAAACATTCAAGACTACGTATTTCCTCGTATTTATTTTGTAACTGTAATTTTTCTAAAACATATTAAAATAGAAAAGAAGTTCATCTGATTCATCATACAAAGAAAATAACAACATAGTAAGAAAATACTGAAAATATATGAAAGCACCAAAACATTAAAATATTCATATTGGAAAAGACTCTAAGAATATATTTCTTGCAATTTTACAGTAAAGTGCTATTCAATCACTCAAATTAAGGAATCGGCATTTTAATAGCATGGTGGTTATTATCTTAAGATTACGAATTACTTCATTACCTTTCCCAACAAGACAACAACCCATTTTGTTGGAAGCAAAGCATCCGAGTTGCATGCACATGAAAACAACCTAAGTAACAGCTTCATAGTAAGCAGTGCACAATATAAGTTGCAAACTCATTAAGAAAAAAAATATTGAGAAGAAAATGGAACAAAAATGAGAGTAGTGAAAAATTAAGAAAATGCAGATGTAGTAAAACATTGTATAACTTAAGAAAAGACAAAAGACTGTACACCAAATGGTTCTGTGGACTTGCCTTTTACACAATAATTTTTTTAGTAATCGTATCACTGCTTTATTAATCAGCTTACTAATGCTTTTTTTAATGCCCTTTTCTATTTCCTAGAAATGACACTACATCTACAACACACTGGAGAGATACTGTAAGGAAAAAGACAGAAGTAGAAAATGACCTTTATTTTTCTTCAATAATCTCTTCTCATCTATTGAAGTCAGCAGACAAAACTAAACAATCTGTTACAAAGCCAATTTGTAGCAAAAATTAATTCTAGTAAAGAAATTATTTTAAATTTTTAGACCTCATCAAAAGTGAAAATTTTAAATGTATGAAAGATACCATCAGTCTCCTTTTACGTGTTTGTAATTTTAATATACATATTTACAGCAATGAGTACAAAGAATTCTTGTTAGAGTAAGTTCTCACTCGCTTCATACACCATTTCCACAATTGTTTCTGAGAAATGGCAGATATAATACTTTTATGTTGCCTTCAACAATGTTTAATCTTCCTGACTTGATTTGCTTTTTTCATAAGTTCACCTGTAATCTAAGCATATTGCACATCTCAAAATAAGTTCTTACACTGACTATTTATTAGCCTTTTTATGAACCAATGATAGGTCATCAAAAGTCAACTCTCATGCTCCGTTCGCAATTTGACTAAGAGTAGCTTTCAAAAAATGAAAAAAAAAGAAGGGAAAGAATAGGAATAGTGTCTCATCATGATTATTTCACTAGTATCTTTGGAATCAAACAAAGGTTATATTCCTGGTCAATATGGCTGCATATATGTTATTTAGTAGGAAATATTTACAGTAACTTTACATTCAGAAGAAAACACACAAAAAAAGGAATTTAACCAATGAAAGAAATGAGCCTGGATTACCAAAATAATTACTAACAACAAATACCTTCCTTTATATGTGCAGGTACACAGACTATATAAAAGATCTGCCTGTACTACGTAATTTCTGTAAATTTTCCTGAATGAACAGGTTAGTCTTTAGAGAACACTAAGTTGACTGCTTGCACCTTCTATGAGAGTAATTCAGAATGTAAGAATGAATATGATGAAAAGAAACATAACATTGTATTTTAGGTAATTGAATAGTGAAAAAAAAAAAGAAGAGTTTTAAATTATGCTGTATTTGGTTTCCTCCTTCCAATTCAGTAGTATTTATTGAGTTGTACAGTGAAAGTAGGTGCTAGCTCTAGCATCTTCCTCATGCCCTGTTCTAAGCATCGGCTTTCAGAAATTTCCTTTGCTGGTCATTCATTTCTTCTATTTTTTTTCAGCAAATTGTATCATTGTTCACTGTTGTGGGCTCACGAACCTCATTTTGGCAGTTCCAGAATCCGAACGCAGCACTGCAATCCCTTCCACTCCAACCAACCACGACAGGCAGCACATCCAGTGCACAGCAGCTCTTTTTAGCTTCTCTGGGTATATACCAGGTAGAAGCAGAAGGCAACGACAGTAATAGATAGTAATGATAAAACAACAGACAACTGCTGGAACCAGAGGCAGCGATCAATCTGCTCTTGAAGTCTTTTATTAATTTGCAGTAAATGAGTTAGCTGAAAATAGAAACATTTTCATCAAATTAGAATTAATGCACATGAAAGTACTCGTTAATTTAGAGCTATTTAGCCAATAACTGTAAACACAGTAAAAAAAAACCAAACAACCCACGAACAAAAAAAGACTTCCCTTAGTGATATCTTTTCTATCATTACATACTTCAAAAATCTGTTCCACTAAAGGAACTTCAGATCTTAAGAGTTATGGATAGCCTATACTGCCTATATCAAGTAGGTGACATCTTTACACTAGGAAGCAAAGACACCGCTGAGGCTCACTGATACCCCAGATCTGTAATAAGATTCTCTGTAACAAGAGGAATGAGTGAACCGCATTGGAAGGCGTATTTTATTAAACCATTACTATTCAACAAAATAATTAAGTCACTATAACTGACTGAGTTACTATAAATTGCTGAGCTTATCAAACAGTATGATTTATGAAGTACCAAAGAGGTTTAGTACAAGTTCTTTTTATCTCTATCGTATTTTATAATTCTGTTCAATATTCAGCACCAAGAAACACACTATTACCTGTATATGTAAATCTTCATTAGTTTTTGCTGGAATATTAAATGCATTCTCTTTTAATGTTAGAGAAGAAGGCTTACTACTTTCTACCATGTGACACCTGAGCCTGTGAAAGGGGAAAAAAGTTATGCACCAAAAATCATAAATTTAATGTAACATTATATAATGAACAGTAAACAGTTCATCTAACAGTTATTATATGCACTTTATCATATGTTCTGGTTGATAAATTCTCTAAATTACTATTGCAATGATAGTCTGAAAAGGCTTCCTCAGTCCACCAATTATGTTTTGACAGTTTTTGATACAGAAAGCAAAATAGAAATTATCTACACGTTTAGTTAATATGTATCTTCATCATTTTAAATTCACAGCACATGGTGCAGTGGATTATTCAGTCAAATACTTACTACCAGAGATGCAATACTTTACTGAACAGCAAACAAAATCTAAAGGGTTTTGTTCCATTTTAAACGCTAGCAACGACATTTTTCATTTACTCCATTTCTTCTACAGTTGAAAATGCAGGAACAGAATTTCAGGCCAGAATTAAAAGTAGCGGAAGTTATAAAACACAGCAGAAGCTCTCTGATAGTATTCACCAGTAACCAATGTACATGGTACACTTCACAGGTGATAAATTTAATGTAATCAAATCATCTCACCCTATTGTTTCAGGGTCTGTTTTAAACAGAATGCAACATTTATGCAAGGGAGCTTAAACTCACATAACGTAGATTCTGTTTAACAAGGAAGTAAGAGATAAGCATTTGAAGCAAAGATATAACAAGACTTAGGCATGAAGTTTCAAAAATACTTTTTCCATGTTAATTTTGACCATGGCGGGTAAAGTCAGCTCAACAAAACCCACAAAAAACCCAAACCTAATACCCAGGAACAATCTAAAGTAGAAATACAGTCAAATTGCTTGTTTTTTTAAAGATGAAACAGCATCTAAATATTGTGGCTCTAAGACTTCCAGATGAAAGAGAACTACAATGAACTTTTCCTATAAATGTACAGCGATACAACTAGATATGAGCAGATGAGAAAGAAGAGCAACAGGTATATTTAATGGGGAAACATATTTTCCTAGTGGTATTTTTTCACCATTAAATATGGAAAACACATATATGAACATGTGAAGGTTTTACAGAAATTTTCTACATTATCATTTTCCCTAGCAGAAAGGGAATATTTTTTTAACATTGTCTAGAAAACAGTATTGCATGTGATGTGACTTCTTTCCTTGCTTGTTTCTTCTTAGAAAACTCAAGTGGCACATTCTTATTAAAAACTAATAAATCTACTGTCCATATGTGTTGTCACATTCAGAGTTTTTCCACTTAACTCTTAATTAGCAGAAAAACAACAATAAAAAGAAAAGCATGTGCAGAATGCCATGACATTTTATGCATTAAAACCATCTCTAATTAATTAAAACAGAGTCGATGCCTCAGCAATATACTTCAGTCAGTAAGCACACAACTGGGTTTGGAGAATTCTTCCCTGATTATGATATGCAAATACTCTAAGTCAGCTAAATAATAATAGCTAAAAAAACCACCCTCAGCAGCAAACCATGTGCTTACCTATGTTCCATCACTTTGGTCCTAGGGACTTCTTTCCAAAACTGAGCCAGTTCTGGTGCACTTACTCCAGAAGACTGGTCCATTTCTGCTGCCATTATAAGAAAACGATCCTGCAGAGAAGCTGCAAAACCTGCCCTCAAAGAAAAAACAAAAACCAAATGCTGTATAGAAGCATTTTTGAACAAAAGTGTTTTAAAATGAGAGCTTGTTTATTGCAGGACATGGGACACTGACTTACTAGAAAAAAAAATAATGAAATCATTCTCTTAATGACAGTTTTGATTACAATATTCCCAAAATTCTACAGTTTCGTTTTAACAGAACTAGTTTCATCTGAACGATTCAAGAACAACCAAGAATTTTGTAAAGAATGCATAATTCAGCAAATTCACTTGTCCTTACAAGAATTTAGGAAACTTGATTTACTGCAGATAAACTCCCACTGTAATAAAGCAAGTGAGACAGCTGCCACTGGGACTTTTTCAAGACAAGAAACAGAAAGGGCAGCAGACAACAGTTGCTTATACCTAAGTGGAGTAGTAAACCAGTATGGGCAGTTACTCAAATGCTGTTTTGTTTGGTTTTTTTTACAAATAGTAACACTCTCGTACAGCAGTCAAGTAGACATGGGTGTCAGTCAGTCTTACACCCCTTGAAGCACATACAAAGGCTAGTATCTAGAGCAGTCAGCCTGTTATCAAAACTTGTCCAGACTTCTTAAAAAATTATATTGTAAGGTTTTACTTACCACCATGAAGAGAGACTATTATATCCAGTGATGTGCCAGGTTCACAGCTGCTGTTACTGGGTTTAACTCTGTATTTTTCAGGAGCAGTTGTTCTTACCTATAAACAAAAAATACCGAGCAAACATATAGAAAATGCAAGCACAAACTATGATTGTTTCATAACCTCTCTCATTTTGTAATAACTAAAATCCCCAAAAGCTGAAATATTAAGTTATGGTAATAGAGTCTTTAAAATACTTTCTTTTGTAGGAGTAATCAGACACTGGTATTTTACTTTTTCCTCTCAATCACTTCTATCCCTTCTTTTCTAGTATACGCTATTTTTATACACATACTTAAAAAGAGCCAAGAATGTCAAACAGACTATCTGTTAAATTCTTAATATGAAAGTATAGAGACTTTAATTTGTGGGTGCAGAGAAAACAAAAAATGTGGTGGAAAACCAAATCAAGATGCAAGTCAACTGCATTCATTCCTTTGATAGTGACGTTTGCAGATTACTAACTTGTTCCCAGACAAGATTTAAAAAGGAGAAAAATTCTAAAGAGATCACTTTTCAATGCTCAAGCCTTTCTTTTTTGGAAAGTATAAGACTCTCACAAAAAACTAACCATCACTATAGCTCTTTTTCAGTCCATGCTCCAAAGATTTGTATTACTGATTATCCCCTTTGGGGATAGGCATAAATTCAGCCAGATTTCTTTCGTCTGCTTCAAACACCATAATAGAATAAAAATTCTAGATTGATAAGTGGGTTTAATAGTATTTATTCCTCCTTACTCAAAACAAGAAAAAGTGATACATTTAGTAAAGTAAACCAGGCCACGCAAAACACTTACCTTAAAAGCTACTATGTTTTTAGTGACATTTGTGAGAACTATCAAACATTTTTTCTCTCCAGTTTCTTTGGATCCAAAATATAATTCTTCTGCTGGGCTAATAAGAGATTTTAAAATAATTAGTTTCTTCCAATTATCTTTACAACATACAATAGAAAAAGGAAACTGTCCACACCTACAGGAAAACAAAATACTTTGAACCCTACAGCTACATTCACTATGAAGAGTTTTTCATCAAAAAAGCTGTGAAAACAAAACGCAGAAGATTTGTAGTGAAGCTCAGGGTTGACTCATGACCACAAGTGGACCTAGCTGCCTCAGCTGGTCATTGACCTTGACTTCTTCCTTCCGGAAG